TTACTTACTTACTTACTTACTTACTTACTTAGTTACTTATTATCTTTCTCTCTATACTTAGTGTTTAGTTATCATTATTCAACTTCTTTTCTTTTCTCTATAACGTACCTTACTACTTATATACTATATAACACTTATATTCATTATTTATATCACATTATAATTTCATTTTTTATATTGTCATTAAATAGGTAATAGTTATTCTCTTATCTGTTTATGAATAACTATGATTAGCTGGTTTAAGTAGAGAAAGAGTTAGACAGACAGAGAGGGTAAGGGAGATAGAGGGAGGGAGTGACAGCTTGGGAGAGTGGATCAAACGAAATCCAAACTGTTCCATTCCAATTAATTAATTAATTAATTAATTTTTAATGAGCATTATAAATTTTATTACAATTCTTGTTAATTGCATTTTAATGATTAATTTATAATAATGTAGTGCGTGTGTGTACTACTAATATTGATAGATATAAGTAGTATGTAAGATATTACTAAATTTACTATCAAATAACATTATCCTTAACTATATCAGGAATGATTTCATGAAAGTTTTTAAATTGAACATTATTATATTAAAATCTATCATGTTGACAATCAATTCGATATATCACTGTGATGTATGCTAGTGATAACTATATGTATATCATCAATCGAAAATGTAATGTCTAGCAGCTGAAGGTAATAAAAAGATTGAAGAGAACGAGAACAGAGAATGATTGGTGAGGAAACGAAAGAACAATGAAGTCTGAGATGATTGATTGACATTCTACAGATGAAGAATGGTTCTGAAATCTTATTAAAAGATTCTGTAATTTTGTATTCAAATGTATTCGATTGTGATTAGATGGTAGTTGGAGGTAGTCGACAGGAAACCCTGGATCCGGGTTTCGTGCTACTTAGCACGTGTCAGTAAGGGACCTAGTGCTCCCCGATGGATTCGATCCCGTGCCACTCATCTTCACAGTCAGAGATCTTACCACTGAAATATCCGGGCTGCATTCCAACATGGTCGATAGTATTCGACCCGCACTAATAATTACTTGACACACATGACATTGGTCACCATCCAGTGATCAGTCGATTGTGATTACATTCGATTGTTCCCACTTTTGTTCTCATCCAGTACAATAGTAATCAGAGATAAAAAAAAAAAAAATAATTAGAGATGACGTAATCTGTTTGAAGATGTTTGATGGAAGGTCATGGATTAAGAATTCTAAGAATACTGATCCTTATCATTTGTATTTCAACCGATTATCAATTCTAATCTTGTTTAAGAACTGAATGGAGAGGGAAAAAGCATTCAAATATGACCAACAGCAACACCATCACCACCACAATCACCACCATCACCAACCTTCATTGAACTATTTTACTCAAATAATGAACTATTAAGGATATCAAGAATTGTAGTTCTTCAAAGAAGTTGATAATTGAATAGTGACTAGATAAATCTAATACTGAATATGAGTATTCTTAACAAGATTACTCATAAACTTTGATATCTAGTCAAGAAGATAATTCATTTCTGTATAATTTGTTGGATATTGTATTTGATTATTCTTGTATATTTTATACTAATGAATTCACTTAGTGTTGATTTACTTGTATCTTCCTTTTGTTGTTTAGGACTGTAATTGATCATGTCTTGTTGGTTTTTGTGCATCCTGTGCGGATTGCTTCGATATAGCCATAAGTCACAAGCTTTTTAAGCAAAGTTGAATAATCGCTAGCAGTGGAATCCAGAACGCGTGTTTTGTTCTGTTTGGTCATATTTCGTCCTATCTTTGCTTAAAAAGCTTGTGACTTAAGGCTATATCAAGACAATCCGCACAGGATGCACATATGCCGATAAGAGACTGATAATTTACATTCCTAAATAACAATGGAAAGATATAAGTAAAACAACACCAAATGAATTTAAGCTTCACCCCATCGCACAAGGAAGTAGCTATCACGACTCAGTAGTTAAGTGGATAACACAATGGTGTTTGAAACGAATGATACTTGGTTCGAGTTCAGGAGAGAACGTCAACTCTGAGTTGCAGGTACATCCATCTGATGAATCTTAAATAGAACTAAGTGTGACGTATCCTGGATTCCAATGCTAGCCACTATTCATCATTACACTAATGATTAACTGAACTGTAATTGACTTTTTTTTTTTTATTTAAAATATTGAAGAAGTGATTGACTTCAAAACTTTTGATAAGAAGAAAAAATAGGAGTGAGGGAATGCTAATATGTAACAAGCAAATGATCGATGTAATGTTAAATTTACTAGTTGATCTAAGCTAGACAATCATGGAAAACCTGAAAGTATTGGATAACAGTTTTGTGCTAGTATGGGACTATCAGCAGTGCTGATTCACGATCCTGCTCGCGGGATTCGAACGTAGGACCTTCGGTCAAACCCACAAACACTTGACATCTAAGCAATTGAACTTGCCGACATCTAACGGTGATAATAATTTTCATATGCACACTAGTGACTGACTGCAAGAGGTATTTCTTAAATTCTAATGAAAAGCCGTGACCAATGAAATTCAACCGTGTCTGTTATAGAGTCATAACACACTGAAGTCAATAGTGGACGGTAGCGCAATATCATGGATTAGTTGAAGTTAACATCGTTAGATGCCTGTAAATTTAAGTGGTCTAAATTTTAAGCTCCTGTGTTCGAGTCCATAGATCGTGGATATGCACTATTGAGGAGTTCCATACTAGAACGAAATGATCATCTAATACTTCCAGTCTAACTTTAATCGATTGATAATTTCAACTAATAAATCTTCATAAAACCTCTTTTCTGATAAAAAAAATTATCGATTAACTAATTATCGTGACTAAATGAAAATTTCAATAATCAATTTTAGTTTTCATTTTTCATCTCAGTTACAAAACCTCTAACCCCCACCCTCACCCCCCGAAAAACTTCATTTTGTTTAAACTAAGATTTTTGTAGTTAACTGACATTTTCACACATTAAATATATAATAATAATAATATTAGTAGTAGTATAGCAACTATCTATAGTAGGTTTTTTCTCCTTTCTTCCTATATTGATGTTGCCTTTTTGAATGATGTGGAATTTATTATATAGAGAAAGTTTTTAATACAAAGTTGTTACTAATGAGAGATATATATGTAGATTGGATTGAATTTATTTTTTTTTTTTGTAGGATTATGACTATTTCTTAACTGGAAGCACTGGATGGCCGTTTCGTCCTATTGTGGGACTCCTCAGTATTGTGCAACCACGATCCCACCCATGGGATTCTAACCCATAGGCCTTCAATTTTGCGTGCGAATGATTAACCTCTAGATCATTGAGCCGGTTGTCATTTAAAGGTGTTAATGTCTATCTTCAACTAACCAGTGAAATTGTACTACCATTTTCCATTGTACTGAGGTAGATACCTGTCTCTACCTGACATGGATTAGATCCATTGATCACCGCTTCTTACTAGAACTTCAGGAATTCCCTCACGAAGCTAGTCACTAGTGAGCACATATAGTTATCAGTATAGGGTTGTTCAGTGCTGCCAGGTTTTCAATGGTTGTCTAACATCAATGGGTTCATGATCTCAACTAAAATCTTAACAGTCTACACAACCCTATACTGATATTTCTTAATCAAACAACGTTAGTGCATTGTTGAAGAAGAAGCTTTTATATGTAAAAACTTTATATATATTTTCCGACATGGATTGTACTTCATTGATTACGGCTCCCCCTAGAATTCCAGGATTCCTTCTCAGTGTTCTAAAGACCGAAGATTCCGGGTTTGACTCTTACGAGCAGAATTGCGCATGCGCACTTCTGAGGAGTCCCATACTAAGACGAATCATTCGTCCAGTGCTTCCCGGTTTTCAATAGCGATCTAACATCAATCGGTTCGTGATCTCAATCAAAAAAAGGAGAATAATATAACAGTTTAACACATACTAATTAAAACACTCATTTCATAACGATACCACTAACTCCATTTGGTATTGTTTGCCTTGTGTCTTCTCAAAGTGAAAATCAACTCTATGATACATGTACATCCAATTGACGAGTCCTAAATAGGACGAAGGTTTACAAGTCCTACCTTCCACTATTAGTCGTCAAATATCTTTGCCATTAACATTGACATTATTAGCCAGTAATAATCTACTTTTGGAAGATAAAATCCAAACAATACCATGGGAATGAAATTCACCCCATTGCAGAAGCAAGTGGCTATCAGGACTCAGTAGTTAAGTGGATAATGCGATGCGTTTGAAGCGAATTGTAATGGGTTCAAGCCCAGAGTGAACATCAACTCTCTGAGATACAGGTACATCCATCTGACAAGTCCCAAATAGGACGAAGTGACGCGCATCCTGGATTCTACTGCTAGCCCACTATCTCAATGCTTACAAAAAAAGCTTGTGAATTAAGGCAATATCGAGCATACACACAGTATGCACATATGCCAATAACAGACTGATCAATTGCAGTCTTAAACCTCAATGGGAAGATACAAGTAAAGACAAATCAAGTGAATTCA